CCTACACAATCACAGACTCATAGACAAGTAGGGCTGGAAGGGACCTCTGGAGGTTGTCTTGTCCAAACCCTGCCTAAACCATCCCATAACAAGTCCTTGTCTAAACTATCACTAAAACTACACAGTTGACTGTTACAAAACTACAAGGCAACTACCCTACTAACCTCCACAGGTAAAACAGGGGCACAGCAGTGGTCAGCAGCGGTCAGTGTCCTACTGCTGCAAGTGTTGTTAAAATATGCTGGGCAGACCAAGAGAGAGGGTCATGACCCTTGCTATAGAGCAAAGCAAAACCTTCACAGTCCATACCAATCTGATCGTGGAATCAGACCAGAGATGTAGCAATCAGTCTGACCCCCAAGTAGAGGGGCAAAGCCCTCGAGCCAGAAACCTCTGGGTTTCAGTCTCAGCAGGAGCACTGGCACACCCAGTAAAAATCCCCACTTCTGGCTGTAGCTACCACCAATGCTTCTGAGGAAGGTGAAGCCCCCCACTCAATATGTGTAGCAACAGGAGAGAAAAAAAATTCATTACTGGCCCAGTGCGGCACCCACCAAGTCCAGAAACATGGGAAATACTGAACACTTATGTTCTGCTCTGCAGCTGGGCACAGCAAGCACACTCTGACTTGCTCAGTGGCACAGCCAAGCATGAAAGGGTAGTGGTCTGAGGGATGGATGGGCTCTGGCAATCTTTGTGATATCCTGAATACGGGCTCCAGGCAGACAGCACACCTCCTGGGACCTCAAATCTGGATGACAAATTGGTGCTTCTGCCCCCCCGCAGAAAAGAGTCACCAACCATTGCCACTCTCCTCTTTCTTCTTGGTGCAGTGGGCTTACAACCCCCATCTCTGAGGCCCTGCACTTTCTGCTTTCAGACAGCTGAGTCCTCTGCTTCTTGCCTGCTGAGGTCCTCACTTCTGCCTTTTTCCAGCCTCCCCACATTAGCTAAACCAGTGCCATTTGAAGCAAACTGCTCCACACAGAGCTGTGAACACAAAGCCTGTCAAGCATTCGCTCCAAAACAGGCACAAGACATCACAAAACAGATGCCCAGAATTTCTGTTCTTCAGACAATCAGCTCCCAGAAAAAGCCTTCTCCAGGCAATCCCACTGCTGACCCTCTCCCCTCACAGCAGCCCCAGGCAAGCTCCCTCTCTGGTTTGTTCGTCTCTGTTCACAATGACTCCAGAGAATTGGCTGACTCAGGGTCTAGACAGGCATCAGCCCCGTCACACTTCCTGATTGGACTGAATTGCTGTGGCAACTTGCAACAACGCACTCTCCAGCTCAGAGGTGTGGCAGGAGGCTGCAGGGACCCATGGCTCTGTTTTCTCCTGCCTCCTACCCTAGGGCTGGGGGAGTGGAGCAGACTGTCAGCACAGCTCTGCAGCTAGGACTATAGCTCTGCTCCCCCATCATGATGCGCAGTGACAGATGAGACCAGAATAAACCTCTCTCATAATGATCTGGCATTTTCTACTCTAAAAGTTCACAGACAGAGGGTGTTTCTAGCCAGTAGTACCATAACTGCTTTTCACGTAACTCTTAATTAACAGTACCACCCAAAAGCCACAAGATTAGAGCCTCATTGTGTTAGGTGCTGCCGAGATGAGCAGCAAGCACAGGCCCTGACATGAAAGCTCATGTACGCCAGGAAGACAAAGGCACAAGGAAAGCAACTTGTTCAGGCTCATCTAGGTGGTTAGTAGCAGAGCTGGGAACAGAACTCCCTTCTGCCTCCCTTACTACTTTCATAAGTAGCTTTTACCTATTTTTTTGCTTTGATACATTATAATCACCAGCAAACCTAGAAATATGTTGTGGGGCTAGTCCAGGTATCCTGCTACAGCCAGTTTCAAGACCTCAGTCTTCAGTGTGCTTGAGAACAGATACTGGGATAACCTCAGAGCACCTTCACTGGCATATCTCCAGGTCCACAAGGGCGAGCAGTAGTGTGTGTTGTGTACTGCTGCCCTGTGTAGATGTCCTGGGTACCCATTAACAGCCTGGGAAACACAATCTGTTGTGAGTGCAGTGGCTAAGACATTTGAAATTGTCAGTGAAAAAGATGATTTTTTTAATGAAAAATACTTATTAAAAATCTTTTTCCTCTTTATACTCAACTCTGTTCTTCAGCCCTGGGCCCAATAACTGTAAGCCCAAGTTCGTGACCATCGCTCAGATTTTTTTTAAATAGTTCCTTGTTAGTTATTATACATTTTGTTAGAATACAGCAGCTTTAAACTTTTAGATGAAAAACTTTTAGCTTAGTTCTCTCTACCTTACCTTGCCTAGAATTAACAGGATACCTTGTTGCACTTCTAATTCTGTCCTTGGAAATATTTTTCTGTAATACTGCAGTGGCAGTTCCTAAAAAACACACAAACCAGTTTCACTGCAAGCAGTTTTATTATTCTCTGAAGTAAATTTAGGTTCTCAGAAAAATTAAAAGAAAACCAAAAAAAAAAGAGTCCAATATATCTCTGCTTTCTGGATTGCAATGCACCCATCTCCATGAGCTGTGCAAAAATGGCACAGACATGCCCCTAGTGTACGCTGCAAGGGATGGTGAGGACAATATAGCATGCACGCTATACTTCATCAGAGGCCAGACACATCACAGTTGTGACATTCTCAGTCTCAAATGACAATCCACGTCTTAGGGCACTAAGTACTACAGCCCTACAGTAGTACTACAGCATAAGTTTGTTAGCATCCATGTACAAAGGGAAATCATAAAAAGAATATAAAATATGATGTGTAGGAAGGAATTTTGACAAGGCCCTTGGCATACACACCAAGATATTTCAGTTCTTACCTCTGGACTGATCTAAACCAAGAGGTGGAGTAGAAAGAGATCTTGCTTGTTGAAAGCCAGGTTTGGCAGCAATCCTGCTCCTTTCAGCTTGACTTGCTGACAGAGTCCGACTACGAGGATGATTTTTAAAGCAAGAAAAAAATATATTTATCACTGCTCGTAACATACCATTTTCTTAACAAAGATTAAACAATTTACATTTGTCTACATGTCTGTGCTAATACCTAAAAGAAGACACTACAATGTTAATTTTAAATCAAATTCCATTATTTCCTTAAAGGAAATAAGCAGCAAAATGCTTTTTTGGGTAAAATCTGCCAGCTTCAAAGGGACAAAGTATGTATAAGCAGAAGTCTCTGTTGACAGCCAAGACATGCGGTCAAGTCTAAAACTTTTCACAAGACACATTTCTTGATTGTTACCAAATATTACAAAGATCTTGAACCAGCTCCTCGGCAGCACCTACTCAATGCAGCTGAGTGGGGGTGAGGTACAAGGAAGCTGGGTGATTCTGGGGCTGGTCACATGCCATCTGGCTATGTGCCCTAGTGGCCAATCCACAAGTTGGTCATAGCCAGAACAGAAGTCTACTCAGTGCTCCCTCTGGCTACTTATGGTGGCACTTGCAGAGGGATTTGTACAGGAATCAATTATGCCAGCCGGAGACTCCCACACACCAGGAGAATCTTCTAGACCTTTTTTTGCAACATATACCTTTGCCTGATTTAACCCCACCCAGCACAAGACAAATTGCTTATGTAAGCTGGCAAATCTAAAAAGCTGTATGGAGGTCTGTGCACCAAAGGTTTCAAATTTAAAGCTGTTACCCTCTAGCAGACACAGGAAGTTGCTTTCTGAAATCTCGAGGTGACCTTGCTGTTCTGGACAATGGTCTAAATTTCTCTGTAGGAAGCTGTGCTGTTTCAGATAACATCTCATTCATCAGGGAAAGTGCTTGTGAGACTCTAAAATGATGATGCTCAGATAACAGGGCTCTTTGGAGGAAAAGGAACAAGTAGTTACATAATTCATCCATCCCTTCAGTCAAAGTTATTAATTTTTAACTAGAACTGTTTGTGGATTCCTCAGTCCACTTCTGTACTACTTTATGACAGTTACTGAAAAACTTTTTGCCATCACTCTTTAGATAAGTGCACAAAACTAAAATGTTTCTCTAAAACAAAACAAAACAAAACTTCAGAGGGAACCTGAGCACTAGCAAAAATAGCACATTAGCACATGAAGCTACAGGATCCAGAAAACTTTTTCCAAATGTCTCAGTGAATACTATCTTTTAGAGATTTAAGCATAAACAGGTAATGCTTTTTTATAGCAAAAGCTATTACTAATCTGGAACTTCAGAATTAAGCTGGATAAAATTAGCTAAGCAATAAAACTGGTAGAATGGTAAATTAAAAAAAATACATAGCAATACCCTGAATGACCTTTCATAGTAACTTACTTATCCTTTTCCTCTTTCTTTTTCTGGTTCAGTTTAATTTCCTTTGAGGTGAGACCAAATTTCTACAAAAAAAAAAAAAAAAAAAGACAAACATTAACTTGCAATATATTTTAGTTCACCTCAAAAAAAAATTTCAGGTAATTTTATAGCTACTATGTTAGATTATCCAGAAGACATCGGCCAAAGTAAGAAGCAACGTGGAATTATACTACCCCAAAAGGAGTTCAGGAAAAGGCTGCATGCCTTGGAGCTTCACAAACTCTAGAAACATAACCAAACCCCTGGCTCCACAACCGTTTATTAATATGGCACAGACCCAGCCAAGCCATGGCTGCTGCCCAGGGAATCCAAGTGCCTAAACCTGCAATATTTCATTTCCACAAAAAAAAGAATAAATCAATCACAGATGTTCAAATCTCCTCGTAAATTCCTCAAAAGCTACAAAATTGGTTTAAAAGTCACTACAATTTTTTAAAAATTGTGTAGGATTGCTTTTTGTTTCTTTCAACTACTAGGGTGCACAAGTCCAAAGATTTGAGAGCTGCAAGCTTGTTTTCAAATGAAAGCTCAGATAGTCTCAATCTCATGACTAAATAAAGCAGAGGCACTAAGAAAAGCACCAAATAAGTCTAGCCCAGATTGCTTCCAACTGGGTGTGTCTACACATGCAATTAATGCATATGAATTAACTCCAGAACTCATTGCTCCAAAGTTTATTGCTCCCAGAAACTGTGTCTTCACACACGCCTGGGACTGCAGCACATTCAGCCGGGTTGGAGCAGCCCCCACTGGTAGGGGCCCCGGTGGGGGGAAGGGCGTGCTTGCCAGCCCAGGGTTGCTCCCTCCAGTTTAATATGCTGTGGAGGGGCTGGCTGGGGCAAGGGTGCTTCAGCATAGGGCTAGTCAGCAGGCAGCCCCTCCAGTGAAACTCTGCAGCAGGACAGTACTTGTATTTACAAGTACTATCATGCTGTGGAGTAAATTCGCTTACTCAAGCCTAATACAGGTGCACAGGTAGATGTGTGATGTTTACTGTGCAGCTAATTAGTCTACCACACAGTAAATGTCTCATGTAGACGTGCCTACTACTGCTGATTCTGTTGTTAATGGAGAATAGGAGGAATAGTTAGAAACATCCTGATGCTTACTGGCACCTACCTATAATTCATGACTAACAACTAGGGGGTACTCCAAATAATACTAAACACAAATATTCTCTTTATATCTCAGAATTTGGACACCTTTCAAGATGGCCTAAATGTGAAAATCCTTAAATGTTAAATTAGTCAATCAATTTCCCACATCAGTGCTAATTATTGACAACATTTTAACAGCCTTTCAATACCTTTTCAATAATTTATATCAATAGATTAAAGAAGTCACACTACTTGCTACATTTGTTTATATTAATTCAAAAGTGATTCTTCCAGATGCACAGTAATCTTACCATACAATTTTTCACATTAAATGGCGTATGTTCTTTCTCTCTTTGTTCATCACGTTTATTCAGATAGTCTGCCAATCTTTCTTTTTGTTTTCTTTTCATCCATGCTTGTATCTCTTTTTTTTCTTTTTCTGTTTTTTGAGAACGTCTAAATGCAGGACCATGGATTCTGAGTACATGCATAAGCACAAAACAATTCAATAAGTCTCCTTTAAAATACAGGTATGAAAACCATATAAATACAGCAATATCTCCTGACAGACACAAACAGCCTAAATAATGATCAACTGGAAATATATTATATAGTATTTATATAAATAATAAATTATGTTATTTATGTTCTAGAACAGTACAACTTGCTTGAAAATCCTGGTATGCAAATATTTTTCAAGCAGTATGGTTTAAGATATTGTTGTTGTATGTTTGTATATAGGCTATTTACTTGGTATGAGAGGCGGTAGGATGAAAAACAGAATCATTTTGATACGCTTTCAAGAATACTTGTTTGAGTTGGTCCAGAGCAATAGCAACAGTCTAAGAACCTACACAAATGAATTCACTGCCATGGATATGGTCACCAAACAAGATCAGTTGTAAGTGAAAAGCTGTTCTACTATTTGTAGAATAAATGGAAATGTTTAATTGGAGACCAGTGCCTTTTTATTTAGTTTCATAACTAGTTTCATAAATTGCAATCCCTCAGAATTTAGAGAGCAAATTTAATCTTTGAATTTTATATATCCTAATTAAGTAATCTTTATCTTATTAAAGTGGATATATTTCCCATTTTAAAATGGAAAATGGTTATGCCTTGTAATTGTGTGATAGGGTTGATTCTGTAGTTTTAGTAATAGGTTAGAAAAGGATTTGTATGGGACAGTTCAGATAGGGATGACCTGTTTCAGGCGGGGAGTTGAACTAGATGACCTTGCAGCCCTGCTTTTTTGTGATTCTTTGTGTAAGTATTTGTAAAATAGATTCATAGAAGTAGGGTCGGAAGGGACCTTGTAGATCATCAAGTCCGACCCCCTGCCCTGGGCAGGAGAGGAAACCGGGCTCAAATGACCCCAGCCAGGTAGACATCAAGCCTCTTCTTACAGACCCCCAGGGTAGGAGCCATCACCACTTGCCTTGGAAGTTGGTTCCAGATCCTAGCTGCCCTGACTGTGAAGTAGTGCCTTCAGATGTCTAGTCTAAATCTACTCTCTAACAATTTGTGGCCGTTATTCCTTGTTACCCCGGGGGGTGCTAGGGGGAACAGGGTCACTCCCAAACCCAGCTGGTCCCCCCTAGTGAGTTTATAGACAGCCACCAGGTCCCCCCTCAGCCTTCTCTTGCAAAGGCTGAACAGGTTAAGGTCCCATAGCCTCTCTTTATAGGGTATGCCCTGCTGTCCCCAGATCATGTGGGTGGCCCTCCTCTGGACCCTCTCAATGCTGTCCACATCCCTCCTCAAGTACAGCGCCCAGAACTGAACACAGTACTCCAGATGGCCTGATCAGTGTCACATAGAGGGGGAGGATCACCTCCTTGGCCCTGCTTGAGATGCATCTGTGGATGCATGACATGGTACAGTTAGCCCTACTGACCGTGACCTCACATTGTTGGCCCATGTTCATCTTGGAGTCAGTAATGACTCCAAAATCTCTTTCTGCCACCGTGCCCTCGAGAAGGGAGTTTCCCAGCTTATAAGTGTGCTGCTGGTTCCCACTGCCCGAGTGCAGCACCCTGCACTTGTCAGTATTGAAACCCATCATATTTTTGTTAGCTCACCCCTGTAACCTGTCCAGGTCCTGCTGTAATCTGTCCTTCCCTACTAGTGTGCCCACCTCACCCCAAATCTTGGTATCATCAGCAAATTTAAACAGGCTGCTCTTCGCCCTGTTGTCCAAGTCACTAATAAAGAAATTGAACAGTGCGGGCCCAAGGACCGAGCCCTGGGGAACTCCACTGCCCACTTTCCTCCAGGTCGAAAAAGACCTGTCCACCATCACCCTCTGAGTACGACCTGCAATCCACCTGATTGAGCTATGAGAAAATCAGCTGTAAGAAAAATAGCCTCTAAAAGAACACACATGTAACACTTCTGATTTCTATATTTACGCTATTTTAATTATGTTTGCTTTAAACACCAGTGAATTTAAATAATTGTATGTATATTATTTAATATTAAAATTGCTCTAATTCAGTAGAAAGCAGAAGTGAAATGTAAAAATAATTACTTGGAGATTTGTCTAGCCTGTGCTTCGGTAAAACCCAGTTCTGTAGCAGAAACATCACCTTCTGTTACAAGATCTTTAATAATGTCGGTCATACCACTTAGTCCTGTAGTTTGCAGGGGATCATCTACAGAACTTATATTAAGAACAAAAAAAAAACTATTTTGTAATCAACTAAAAACATTTGCAAGAAAAACTAAAATTAAATCATCCTAAAATTCTTACTTTTAAAAATCAGGTAAGAAGAAATACTATACTTATTCAAAAGTTAATTACCATACTCTTTTTTACTGAACTATTCTTGTCTATATATCTGTGCTGTTTTAAGGGTATGCTATTTTAAGCACAAGACAGATGTCAATCCATTTTCAGCCAATGGATGTAAACATCCACTGATGAACCTACATCCTGTTGGCTTACATTTTCATGCAATAACTGTAATAGTTCCCTAGTGCTAGTTCTGCCTTTTATAAATGAGTATATCAATGACAGTTACATGCACATGTCCAAAACCAAAATTTAGTCAATAGTAGCTGTATAAAACTATGCATAAACACTTAGGGTATTTGTTAAAAGTTCTGCTATATTCGGCACACATGTAGCATATGCACAAGAAAACATAACTTTTAGATTTCTGCACAGCATGGGTTGGTAACCAATAATTCACAGGCTGGATTCAATGGGCACATCCAGATGAGCCCACACGTGCATTTTGCAGCGTCTCAAACCCCTTTGAGACGCTGTAAGAGGCACATGCAGGAATGAGAAAATGTTCCCCATGCTGCAAGTTTGCAGCACAGGGGCAAAATTAGACCACTGGATATCCAGAGATCAAAAAAACCCGCACTGAGGCAACTGGAGGCTGGGTCCTCCATAGAGACGCTCTGGCAGCCAGAGCACCTCTATAGTTAGCCCTCGCCCTGGTGCTCAAGCTCTGCTGAGCTCCACCCAGGCTCCACTGCTGGTAAGTAAGGGGTCAGCGGGCTGGAGGAGGGGACCATGGTGCCAGCCCCACCCACTCCCCCAGCCCCGATCCCTTCCCCGCCCGGCCCTGGCCCCCTCGATCCCTTCCCCGCCCGGTCCCATCCCCAACCAGCCCCCTGGGCCCCCCCGATCGCTTCCCTTCCTTGCCTTGTCCCATCCCCCCGAGATCCCTGCCCGTCTCCACCCCAGCATCAGGGGGAACACCCCCTCCCCCCCGGCACTTACTGGAACTTTCTGCTGCCGTCGAGGTCACTGGGGCCCCACCTGCACAGTGCAGGGCAGAGTGAGAGCCCCGGCAGCCCCAGCCCAGGCCCTGCTGCCTGGGGGTGCTCTGCCAGGAGGCTCTACAGCTCCTACTTGGTAAGTAGAGGCTTTTTTTTTGTTTTTTTAAAGTGCCGGAGGCTGGGGTTGAGGGGGCAGGTGTCGGGTGGGGCATCGGGGCCCTGCAGGGAGGGCTAGACCCTGTGGGGGGAGGCATAGCTTCTGTGGGGGGCAGCAAAATATATATTCATGTATTCATGAATTCATGAAACATGTATTTAGAATTCACTTTATTATGATGACAGAGACACTGGTAGTTTACCAAATTGCTTTAACACTGTAGATATATCAATAAAACATTGGCCAACTGATCGCTGTCTCTGTCTCTCTTTATAGTGGTCTTTTGTTTTACTTGTGGAGGAACATGGATTTGGGGGTATTTTACAGAGTGACTTTGGGATTTTTTTTTATCAGGGATTTTTCAGTTTTCCAATAGGGAGCACCAGAATTCCTGCTAGGGAGGCCAGTGGCAGGACCCTGCCTGCTCAGAGCTGGCACCTT